GTTTTACAAATAATTTGTAAGCTCTTTGTAACTGAAATGACCTTGTACTCTGTGTTATAATTATAATACGGAGCAGAAGGGAGGCTTAGTAAAAGCACAGAGCTTTTAGGTGATATAGTAATATGAACAAATAGATAAATTCTTAATAGAATAATCTCTCATTAAAAAAGACAAATGTATTTTCAGAGATGAGCAAATGAGCTCATCTCTGGCATGAGAGAAACGGGGACCATTGTTCTGCTCCTGCTCTAGTCTTCAGGAAGTACATCTCCACTTTTTCTGTCACTTGTATTGGATTGCACTGATTTAATAAAGACTGATATACAGAAAAGAGTAATGAGAATATCAATTTTAGTTACAATAGGTAGGCTAAAGCTTTTAAAGGAATATCTTCCTTGTACACCCAGGGAAAATCATGAATCTCCTATAGGCTAAGAACAGGTTTACCTTTTTGGCATAAAGTCGCAGAGCACCCTGCCACATGTGCTCTAGAGCTATCTCCAAATCAAATGCTGTAACTATTTGAAACAGGATATCAACTTTCAGCATTTTATTACTTTGACATGGTTTTGAATTCCCTTTATTATGATAGTAATTAATTACAAATTATGGTCATGTTATTACCTCATAAAATAATACCTGTTACTGTCTAGCACTGCAAGAATAACAAAAAGAGTAAGAAGAATGTAGAATATAGCCTCTGGAAAATCCTGAAGTAATTTGTGTGTTGGGGAGGGGAGAGACAAAGAGGAGACAAGACGGCAACTTTCTAAAACATTTAAAATATATATAAAGAAGATGGGGAAAAAAATATGTTCTAGTTCTGTTGGGTGAAGAATAAGAACAAAGTAGCTTAATTTTGTAACAAAGAAAATTAATTTGGTTGTAAGTAAGGCCTTCTAATTAGAGGATAGAAAACAGTGGAACACAGTAACGAGGAAGGTCGTAGGTGCTTCTTCCCTAGAGACTATTAAGAATATCCTGTATATGTTCTTTATCCTGTTTCACGGCTGAACTTTGAAAAATGACTTCTGGGAAAAATAGTGCTCTCTATCCTTGAAAGTACTAAAGAGCACCAAAAATGATGGACTGAAATACATTCCTTTTGTGAAATTTGGTGTTGACTTTTCTTATTTTAATAACATCAAGCTAACAAAAACAAAACAAAAATTGGAACAATTCAGATGAGTCAATCAAGTTCATTAAGACACAGCTTTTGAAATACAGTTCTTATCTCATGTATAGGTATAACATGATCTTGTTTCAGTTATAAGTTCTGTATGTCGGTGTTGGTGTGATTGCAATGAAATTTATCTCCTTTGTATGTTGTTATCTTTAATTTTCACTTAGGAGGATAAAGGGGAAAGAACATTTCTAACCAACATCTATAGACTAGGGTGTTATAAAAAATTTGATAGAAACTTTCCAAGTTTCAACTATATGTTTGTTCTTTGGCAGCATGTCTTCTGTACCACAACTTTTGTCCTACCTGTATTTTATATGCTCAATTACTCATAATACTAGTGTATTATAATGCTTCTTCCCTACCTTCTTTCCAGAAAAGGTTGTATTTGAACTCGTTCTCACTGGGCACAGTTTAGGCTGCACACAATCTAACTGACATCTATGCTATATTACTTGTATAATTCCCAAGAAATGAATCAAATATAGATCAACTCATCTAATTAATTACTATTGTCTTGATGATACTTAAAAAATAATGAACAGGTTTTTTTTGTTTTCAATCTGTATGGAACAATAATATAAACTTATAGTATGTAGTGGACTTAATCCTATTCTTGGTACTTCTGATGATCACTGAATTTCACAGGGAAGGCAAATAATAATTGTTACAGGTTTGATGTGCTAGAAATCAGTTTTTTTCAGTCAGTGTAAAGGTAAATTTTATGCAAGTCTTCCATTTTTCATGAATTTCACAAATACTATTAAGAGGCAGCAGAAGAAGGCATACTACTTCCTAATAAATAAATACGGTATAGTTATATCCAACTACACTGGATTATTCCTCTGGTTCTACTGATAATTATCTCTGCAGAT